ATTGGTATATTCCTATAAACAATTAGGTACATTTACACAATTTACACAGTCTGCGTTCAAACAAATTAGATTGTGTTGTCCACTGTATATATACTACAATTTATGAAATTGTGCAGCATTCAAAGAATGGATCTATAACTATAATGACTAGAAATTAAAAAATAGCCATGCAATTGTCCATGTTACACAAAATGCTTCTATTTTGGCTGTTGCAAACCCCCCTGAAATGTCCGTAACTTACAGCCAATTAAATTCTTCTGTAAAAATTGTGTTAGTTTCCAACGCAAAATTAACGAAACGTATGAAAAACGGTAAACAGCTTCTGCAGTGCTTCTTCTTTGTGTCTTGAAGATGAGTAATACTGCAACATTATGTTGAGGCTGATAAGGTACTCCCCTTCTATCTTCCCAAACTGGGAACTACTCTTTACAGGATAGTATCAAAATATACACACATTTTGAAGTTAAAATAAATACTTGGAATTATTAAAAATTAAAGTTTTGTTCAAATTACAACAGTTATCCAGCTATAGAGATCACAGTATAAGATTTAAAAATATGAAGCAAACACTTTTTTTTTTTAAAGTATTTGACAAGAATATATATATACCTTAGTAAGCTGGGCCAGAGAAATAGATGCAGAAGAGTCATCAATCTGTTCACAAAAAATTAAACACATATTCAAGTTCTACAATCAAAACATAGCAACAGTTAACCTCTACTGTAGTCAGAAAGTCTGCACTATATCCTGAGTGTCACTGAAAGAGGCATTGCCAACCTAGTGCAATTTGTATTTGTTCAAAACAACGTCCAAACCTACAACAGCTCAAGAGTGCCTACGTGGTTAATGAGAAGAAACTAAAATAATCAAACCCGCCTGAGTTCAACTTATTGCTCCCAAGTATCTCAGAGAGGGACCCATGTCAAATGCTCACAACTGCTTAAAACTCGAAGGGGTAAGGAAGCTGTCAATTTTCAGTTAAAAAGGATTTAAAAAAAAAAATTAAGTTTATTTGAGAAGGATGCATCACTACAGGAAACTTATTTTCAGCGTAGTTTGTAAATTAGTCAGTTAATGTCTCATTGTTTATAAATGCACATGGTTATGCTATTATGAACACAGGAGCTGCCTGTCAGAATAAAGCACAGGTGTATCAGCCCTGAAACATGAACACTGCCCATCCTGTCACTAAGTTTAAAAACACCAAACTCACCATAGCCCACAAAACCCAAATAAAAACACCCATCCAAAACATCAGCCATAAAACTAACCCACCACTTTGTCTAGAAAGAACCTGCTTAGATTATTTAAAGGTATTTATTGTGACAGAGTAGCCAGAGTAGCCTATAAAAACTGAGAAAACTGATTTCATGTATTTTATTAGACCACAGGCCATACTATCCAAATCAGTTTGGGAAGTGTGAGAATTTAATATTTTCCTTGCCATCGGACCAAACCCAATATTTAATAGCAGCCCAGTACTAAATGAACAAAAGCAAGAAAGTGTAAAGCATACTCTCGATGATGAAAACATGGATTCAGAGCACAATCCTGTAATTTTTTTTTCCTCCATTGCAATCACGCTCCTCCCTCCCAGCTACCTACTGGAACAGCTTGCAGGAATGAAGTCTCCAGGCCACTGGTTAGTAATGGACTGCAGTGTTTGTTGAGAACTAAAACCCAAGTGCAGTTTTTCCACAAGTAAAAAGGGTAACTCTTATCTAGTTCCTTTTCCAGTAGATTAAATTCTCTTATGCCACAAGCAGCAGTTAAGCTCACACCAGTAAAACACTATCAGAAGGACACCTGAATCACTGCTTACTATGTCTTAAGTTGTTCAAAAACGTAGAATAAAATTTCATAATGTAAACTGCACAGCTCTCCTCAAGAGGTCACTAAATTGATGAGAAGAGAGATTAAAACCGTTCCTTGGAAAAAGCTCTTTATTACCTAATGTAGTGGAAGAATTCAAGGGAGCAGTTTTAGCAGACTCTAGGGAAAAAGAAAAAAATCTACGTGCAAAAGACGATTCCTCACTCCAGTTAATCATTCCTTCTCTATACGTTTAGGAAGGCACATGTAACATGATTGTATTACTAACTAAAAAGTTCTTGAAAACGTGCCTTTGGAGAGGAACGCCCAGATCTGAAAGACCCTCTTTCCATTGCAAGTCTTACCAGAAGATTCAACCTTCCTTCTTTTCAGAACAATTTGTGCCTCGTTCTGTTAAAAAGGAAGTCTGATCACGTATTTTGAGGCTTCATGCTCCATATGCCACTCTTTTTTACATGTGGAAAAACAGGCCTGTGTTCTCTCATGGCAGGCACAACCACTGTCATTCTGGGATTTTTCAGAAGCAAACAGGAAATTAGGAAAGCTCTCTACTGGGTTCTAGTGTTAAACAGTCCAGTATTAACCAGTAACTGAAACATAACAGTTAATAAACTATTAATTAGTTCTTGTATGTTTTTTAGGAAGTAGTTGTTATATGGCCTGCAGCCAACAGTCCGATTTCTTAAAGGAGGGGACAGCACTCCTTTCTACTAAAATTATCAAAAGCAGCAAATAGATAATTAACATACTATTTAGTACGTTTGCCCAACAGCCATCTTCCAAAGATCCTACGTTCTTGCATCTGTTTTTTCCTTCCCTTTAAATTTCTACTGAACTATTTCCTGCCAGTCCCTCCAATCAGTCAAGTAGAAACAAGATCTCCATGAAACTTGCATACAATTCTAAGATAATACTGCAGAAGAATTGAGGGGCAAAAAAAAACCCCAAACGACAAAAAACAAACCCCAGAATTGACAGTCAATGTATTAACTGCCATTTCAAACAGAAGTCTAACAGAAACTAACATAAAGCAAGAGGGAAAGACTAAACAGAAACTAACACAAAGCAAGTGGGAAAGAGGACAGAAAATAGAAGGAAAAGGCTCATCTCACTGCTGGAGTGCTACATTTAAATTACAGTGGTTTCCTAACACCTGATAGCTTGGCTAAACTGAAAATTCAGCCAGGAAGGATCACAGCTGTGCTTGACAGCGCTAAAACAATGGGCAGGGCTCTCTGCATTTCTGCAGCCTCTGAGGACAAACACCAGCTAGGGATCCTTGCAGTTACCAAAACAGGAACACTAAAACAGAGAAGGTCCACTTTCTTGATTTGGTTGTAGTCACAGCAGGACAGCAGCAAATTTGCAAGTGCAGAATGACAGCTAAGGTAAGAGCAAGAAAATGAAGAAATATTCAAAGTCTAAGCTTTTGTGCATCCTTTTTTAAAAAAGAAAAATCTTAACTCATTTTAATTTTGCTGCTTTACCGCTCGGCAGTAATTGGCAAGCTTTCCACTGATGTATTCCTACCGCAGTAAAATCCAGGTTCTGCTTTGAATACATACAGAAATACGTGTACTTAAAAAACCCACACAACCCTCCCCCACTTTAGACCAAGACCTGAGTTAGCTTTAAGAACGCAGCTCATTGTGCCTGCAAGAGCCGAAGCACCCGAGGCTGCAGAGCTGGTACAGGGGCAGAGGGAGAGGACTCCTGAAGAGAGATGCAAGGCTTCCGCCTCCCTACGGCTACCCACAGCCCAAATCGGGGACAGCCGGAGCCAACAAGAAGGGAATGGTTTTACTTTGCCTTTCATTTACTTTAATCGGTTCTAACTAACACTAAGGCTTCCCTCCCACTCCAGGATTCTTCTTTTTTTCTTTTTTGTCTTTTTTTGAGACATCTATATTAGCTTATGGTAAGGTGCTACTTAGAAATGTAATACAGACATGCCAGGGAACACACAAGGCTAAAAGAATGTTAACTTTATTTATGAACATGTGATTTGTGTTTATACACATGCTAGTAAACAAAAAGAAAAGTAACTGTTTTCAAGAAATAAAAACCCATCTGAATTAGATCAAATACTATAAACGTGGTTCACATAAATGCATTACATTAACTACTAGGGTCACTGGGCCAGTTAAACTAACTCAAACTCACAATGAGAAGCATTCACGTCCAAAAAGGAATTCAAATCAATCAGCAATAGAATTATGGATGCAGATTTAGACTGAAGTGTTTTTAGACCTACACATAAGAAGTTTTCAATTTTAAGTTGATTGTATACCATTCCACGAGAATCAGAGGCTGTATTCTTCACAGAACACAGACCCAGAGTTCATTAATTTCTAGATTAAGTTATCCTAACAGCTTATCAAGTGATCAGATCCAATGATCCAGGGTTAGTGTAATGCCTCACACCATTCTAGTGAAGAAAAAGCAGTTACACTTAAAATAAAGATGAAAAATAAAAAACACCAAGTAGTAATTTTTAAACTATAAGGACTATTTTGAAATGCGTAGTTACACGTATTATCCAACCCAAGTGGCAAATCAAGATCTACACCATTACCAGTCAAGTATTTCCGTGTGTTACTTATTTATATTCTAGCAGCAGAACAACAGTGTTTTCAAACCTGAAAAAAATGCTGCCCCTTTTCCAAATGTAAATTCAAAGTGGTGGTATACTAAAGAAAGGCTTAACCTTTGGGCAATTAAAGCAGCATCCAACCCTGAAGTCACCCAGATCCAAAAGCGTACCGCAGGCAGGAATTAAGAAAAATGACAGGGATTTTACCCACAAATGCACCAGGCTCTAACCTTGTGCCAAAATTTGTATTGGATATTTTCATTTGCAGACGAACTATTAAACTAAACTGCTTCACCAGATAAAGTGGAAAGATCAGATACAGAACTTTAGAATACCACTTTGTGTAGCAACGACATTTAAAGTCATGGCAATCTATTAAAGACATTTATGTACTCAGAGGGGCCCAAACAATATTACTTCAATTATACACTTTTAGGAACAAATACCCAAGTACTTAAGGACACGAAAAGGAACCATTTAGCTCCACAGAACTGTCCTCAAAACGTAGGGGATATGTTGGTTTTGGTATTTGTTTGAACCCCCAAGCCAAAAGTAAGAAACAGTACCAAGTTTAACAATAATGGTTTCTCAGTGGTTTTTGATAACATTTTCAAAAACCATTAGGCAAAAAAAAAGTATTTAAAAACAAAAGCTAAGTGATACAATGTGAAAATGGCAAAAAATACACTCCAAACAATTTTTATTGCAAGAAACAAAAAGCACACAACAGCCTATACAAACATACAAATTACTAGCTATAGACAGACAGATGTAGAACATGGCACCATGTTCAGTTGTGCAAACCTTGAACCTACATGATCTAAAAACGATCATACATTATCTGTACAACACAAAGTCATACAGGAAATATTCTAGCATATTCAATATGAAATACAATGCATTACTAGGCACAAATACCAATATTCACATTAGAACTGTGCAAATGATGGCATTACTCAGTTTTTACTATGCTGAATCAAATACATTCTATTTACAACATATACTATGTTTTACTGGAAAATATATTAAGTTAATGTTTGGAAAATTAATAAAAGACTACGTTGTTTAGAATTAAGTGCAGTGTGTAGAAAAAAGTGTGAGATTGTGTTTTTACATACTGCTTTTGATGTTCCACTCACTGGCTCAGTTCGACTTCTAGAAGAAGAAATAAAGGTGATCAGAATTTAAAATAGAGCGCTTGTACCCAACATAAAGCAGTGAAAGCAGATTATAAAATCTGAACATCAAAACATTATGCTCCAATAGTCTAGTGAACGTGGAAATTTATTCATATACGTAAACTGTTCTCTCTTGGTACATTCAGTGCAACTAAAAAAAACCACCCCGAAAATCACATTTCTACTTTGTCACAAATTAAAACTTACAGATATAGAACACAACAGTGCAAGAGGAAGTCCTCAGGTATTTTGTCTCTGCTATGCAAGTATCAAAAATATGAAGTCTGTACTACAGTTTTGTGCTCTTAAATAATCAACCATTAAAATATGAAGGTAACTTTAGCCAATCTGTATATCCCTAGTATTGCAAATAGGTACCAGATACAGTACTTTAGTTTCTAAGAAAGAACAGCGATAGTCTAGACACTTCGAAGTGCAAGTTTACTTAAGTGAAAAAAATCAGTCGTCTGACAAATAACAAAAATGTCAGCAGCACAGTCTTTAGAACAGTGTTTCTTTGTGGAAGCCCAAGCACTGTGTTCAGATATCTACTATATTTAGCCATGAAAGTGCCAAAATACTAAACGTGTTACATATGCTATATTGACTAAAAATAGTAGTAGAAATGTCACCTGAAAGCAGTTTCTAGGATTTTGTGCGATTTAGGAGTCCTGTGACAAAAAAAAAGGTCTTAATTGCCAGAATTTGCTGTAAAATAATCTTGAAAATGCTACAGTATTTTAGGAAGTATTTATTACACTTGAAAACTTGCTGAGATTCCACATACTCATTGATCTGCATCCGCATGCTACTCATCACCAATCAGACATGCAACCATTGGCGTCGTTAACAAACAATTCATACATCATCCAAAGTGTCCCATGAGCAGAGGCAATTCAAGGCTGCTGTGGAATTTAGGCGCAAATAGACCGGCTCGTGCTTCCTGCCACTGCTAGAGCACCACCAGGCTCGCAACTGCAGCCACGTACCTCCTGGAGATGAGGAGGTACAAGGAAATACTTTAGATTACCACACAGTGGTTTCTTCATGTATTTACCCTGAAGAACACACTACAAGGCAAGTAACACGTTTTTGAAGGCCTCTCCACCATTCCAGCATACATTCATCATTCCCGAACATTAACCACTCTACCAGCTGTTTCTGCAATGCTTCCAGCCAAAGGAATAGAAAGCTAGTCTGCCTGGTTAATTTGCAATGTTAGAACAGCAGTGCCATTCTTCCCTTGCCCCCGCATACAGGGATTTGTGAGCTTTGATGCCAGCAGCATCTGTCCTCTCACTTTAGGGCAGCATTACAATACCAGGAGAGGGTGCCACCCTACCAGAAATGAAGGACGCATTGACAAGCCAGCACTAAGCACACATACTTAAATTAACCCCCAAAACAAGGCCATGTTTATAAGCACAAGGCTGTGGCATCCAGAATTACTCGGTAGTGCCTGGAAGCACTACAACTACCACCGCAGTGATATGCCCAAAGTTTACATGTAGAGCCACATAAACTCAGGTTTTTTTTGCTCACAAACGCTTCATGGGCACCAGGATGCTGCTGTACTGTTTGTTCGAGACACACTTAACTCATCAGTATACTTTATTTATTGAGAACCAACATCAGAAAGACATGGCAAAACCACAAGCTAATAATATCTACTAATTGTGGTGGAGAGGCGTTATCTTTAAGAAGGCTGGAAAACATGACCGTTCAAACAATGCTAATGTAGCTGATACAGAACTGGACTGTGTGAATACATAAGTGACAGCAATAATCCTGTAGTCAGGTAGCATTTAGGTATCTGTCATTTTAATCAATATATCCAATTCTCTGTCCTCCATAAATCTTAGGAATACAGAATTAAAACCTGGAGCACAGATATCAGCTTAGGATAAAAACAGTCTTAAAAAGAGAACTAGTAACATTTGGTAATGCGCTAAACTGCTTACTGCGTTTCAAGTTTGGAAAGGATTAACTATTCCTTCATCATACTTGCCCAAAAGGCAATACACTTTATGGTGTCGTTCTCTTTCTCTTGCCTGAAACAGACGGTGTCTTTAGGAAACTAACAGGAATAAGTTACGAATGGAACTTCTTGTTTGCATGGTTTGCCAGCTGGCAACCCTTGGTCTTTCCTATACAGCCAGCATGCACAAACCCTGGACTTGGGGCGTAAGAATACCTGCCGTATCCCACCCTCCCCCCATGCAAGAAAGAGTCGAACACGGAGAATCAGGCCCTTCTGAGATGCAAATTCTAAGTTCACACTACAATGCCTATCTCTCTTTACTATTAAAGCAACAGAAGCAAAGACACAGAATAAGGAATCTCTCCACACAGAGGAAACAGGATCTACAACTTGGGTCTCAGAAAAATCAACCCCAAGAGCCAACCCAGTAGAATCACCTTAAAAGTTACCATTGTTGGAGTTTGAACCCCATGTCCCAGCAGGCCTGAAAATGTCAAGTCTACTTTGGGACAGATACATTAAAATCTACCCATTACAACAAAAACTGACAGCAGCTTTAACAAGAAAGATAGAACCTGAATGCCTCTCTAAACTGGTATCAATAAAAAAAAGTTAACACACTGAAACCCCTAACAAAGAGTACAATGCTTTATGGATACTTACATAACGTATGTTTTGCTGGTAGCTTTGACTCCTCCAATAGGGATTCTTCTAACAATTACCGATGAATTCTTAGGAATCAGCGCGTTATCATCCGTGTATTCTGAAAACAACATAAATACAGAAAAAACATTAGTCAATTTGTAAGAATGTATACTAGTATGTATTTACACAGCACTTCAGAGAATCCCTTTACAGATATAAAAGCAAAATTTTATGTGTAACATCGCCTTTTTGTCATCTCAACACACTAACAGTACATTTCAAGACATCTTCAGGTTTGATAATCAAACACAAGCAACAAAATCTTTTCGGTTTTTTTTTTTAACTAGTTTGAATGCCAACAGCAAAATGGTTTCAAAAAGCATTAAAGGAGAGTCTGCTAATGCATGAGGTTCTTTCCCGACCTAGCTTAAGTTGCCTTTGCTTCTGTTAGGCTACAAAACCAACGTATCTCTGGAGAAAAACAAACCACAGCGAAGTCTCACCGGCATAAACCAGATTCTAAAGTCTGACTAGCTTGCCCTGCAACAGAACAGGCGCTTCGCTAAAGCATGAAAGCTCTGTGCCATTGCTTTCATAGCTCTTACCTAAAAACGATTCACCTCTGCTGCTAGTGCTCCAGACTGACAGAACGCAGAGGAGAGCCTGCCAGCTCTGCCTATTTCTTGGGGCTTAATCCATCAACAGCCATGCTTCTCAGCTGCTCAGGGCTTTACATTTAAATAGAAAAGAAACTAGCAGTGCTAGAATTCGGATCAGAGAAGTTTGGGGGTTTTTCCGAGGGCAGAAGTGGCTCAAACTACAGCACTATCTCCCCTCCTAAGTTAATCATGTAGTCTGAATTAACTGAAGGGATGTGAATTCTTTCAATTCACTTTTTGCAGAGCAGAAAGACTCAAACAAAATTACTTATGAAGACAGCCTTGAAAAGCCTTTCGAAAACAGCGTATGCCTGAAGGTATCCACGCTTTGCCTTGGCTTACACCATGTTAGTCTTCTGAAGAGGAGGAAAGCCTTCTGAGCTTTTACCTAAGGCCCAAACAAAAAAAACAACTACCCGAGACAGCTGGACAGAGCATGCTTAAAATGCCAAGATCCCTCCATGAGAATGTTTTTTATACTGTACTTACACAAGCTGGATATGACTAAATATTCTAAAGGGCTCTCAGCAGCCATTCCCTGTAATTTGCCTATGGTTTTAAATATTAAAAGCCCTTACCTTTGCAGACCGAATCAGAACGGTGGTCTGAAAACCAGAGATGCTATGTATCTAGCCAAGCTCTGTCAGGGTGGTTTTGCCCCGTGATCACACACAAAATACAAGTATTTCACAGTTTATGGTCCATTATTCAGTATATTATTCCTATGGGCAGGAACCTCTCAGACCAAAACGCAATTACCAGAAGACATCATTTCAACAACAAAATGAAAATTTTACTTCTATTTCCAAATGACAGAATGCTTCTTTGGAAATAATTTAGCTGAAACTAATTCCTGATCCTCCCCTAGGGAACCGAGCAGCGAGCTTCCTCTGGACTTCACAGTCATTTCAAATTGTAGGAGAAAGGACTACTAATGATGAAAACAGAGGCTTTTAGAGAAGTCATATATCCTGAAACCAAGCCCTAGAGCTCTTCTCAAAGGGAAGGCCTCACCATTACACGGCCACTGTCAAGAAAGCCTGCACGGGGGCCGCTGGCTGGCGAAGGAGCCCAAGCAGTACTGAGGCCCAGGCAAGGAGCAGGGCGCTCACGCCAGCCGCAGTTCCAGCAGCCCAAAGCAGCTGTGGCTACCTGCTGAGCAGAGTCACGCAGGATATTCTTGCTGGTCCAGATCACAAACCACTGGACTAAGATTTCAGAGATGTAGGATAAGCAACGGTTTACTACGCCTGTGCCAAACTGAGGACTGCGGTAGTTCTGCAGAAGATTACAAGCGGCAGCACCTCTCCCAGAAAGAGACTGTATACATGAGGACAGCAACCAATGCTTTTATTCACAAATTATGCAAGGCTGCAGAGGTCAACCTGAACACGCACAACAAGTGTACGATGCAAAAAGAGGAGTAAGTCCGGTTTTAGTATTTTGTGATAATTCATTGACCGTTAGAAGAGAAGCATTGACATCTGCCTTCTGAACAGCCTATCCTTGCATGTGTGTATACAGTCATAATATCATTTAGGTTGGAAAAGGCTTTTAAGATCAAGTCCAACCATTAACCTTCATTAACGCTACCAAGCCCACCACATATAGATGACATATGCTTGTTTTCAGTCCCCTTGTTAAATGCACAGTGAAGAGAGCTCCAGCTGTCTAGTAACAGACTGATATAAAAATGAATTCACCTTAAAAGTCAATCAGAACACGTTTAAATGGATGAACAGAAGAGTGACAATAGCTTGTGAAGTAAAGGCTTTATTTGTATAGGACACTTATCACAGCACGTATTTCTATTTGGTACTTGGAAGTATCCCACTAGCTTGGTCACCGTGTCAGAGAACTTGTGGAAGAGTGTTTACATACAGCAGAGTACATTGCTGAATTAGTTCTGAAGGGACTTGATACCAGTTGGCTTCAATACATTTATTTTTCCTTCACCTCAATTCATTTTGGCGATGAAATTTTATTAAAGGTGAAGTCAAACAATGTAGACTAAAAAGTTAACTTCCTTTTTTCAATAGGAAAGGACTAAAGCGGAACGCTATTCCTGAAGTCCCTGGGAATTTTTGTTTGCTTGGTTTGAATTTAACAGATGCTAGCTTAGTCTAGCAGCTCTCAGGCTAAACTGGCATCTCCCAGCAGGAACCCGTTCCCCGCGGGCAGCAACGTCCCCTAGCAGGGACTTGGCAGCTGCCGGGACATGCGAAGCAGTGTCACCCCGCCTCACCACGTGACTCAACATCTGCAAGCGAGCAGCGACTTCGTGCTCAACAAGGCTGCTTTTCACACTTGTCCAAGCAGGGCTCCAACAGCAACGTTCAACAAAGCTGGAGGTAACAACATTGTTGATTCCTACTCCTTTATAGCACAAAGCTTGATTTACTGCCAGCAGTGGCCAGTAAGCGGCTACTGGGCTTTTGTCCACCTGACCTGTGATAAAAAATAAGGATTCAATTAAGTCAGAAAGCTTGCAAAAGCAAAGGAAGATTTGGATGTTCTATTGAAGTCAACAGCAGAAGAGACACAACAGTCTAAAACCTACTATCTATTCTACAAGAAAATAGCATGCTTGAAAGAGTCAAGGGAAAGAACTATTAAGGAATGAAAGGAAGCAGGCAAGTTAAACAACAGTTACTTTGCTGCCTCACACTGACTTGAAAATCTTAAATCAACAACTGCATTAGTGTCCACAACCTTCTTCCTGCAAAAAAGTGCAAACAGCTCAAGTTATGCTCTGAATTTTATACTGCTTTACATTTAACACACAATTTAAAAACCCCACTTTTAAATTCATCTATAATTCTGAAAATCTGCTAGTTTTAATAATTTGTGTCACACGTACGCTATAAACAAGTTACTGAAAAAAGTTCCTACTTTATTTTATGGCCTGCTTTAATCCACCATTTTGAGTCTGACAGCACTGCAAAAGCATCTCTCTGAGCACCATCTAGAGAAGTATTTTCACCCAGATAAAATACAGAAGCTTATCAAAACAGAAGTCATCAGAAGGCAAGCCTATATGTGAAACTACAAAGAAAAGCCTTTATTAGGCTTAGATGCCTTGCTAACCAGCTATTATGCTAACGGGGGAATGATCTGCAGAGTTTAAGAGATGAAAACGACTACTAACATGCCAGACGGTTTCTACCAGAAAGCAGGGTAACTCCCAAGAACACATTTTCTCCCTAGCGCTTAAAAAAATGTGCTTTTCATTATGTGATTTTTTTTAACTCTGTTCTAATCAACACCACTTGCACACTTTGCCGCAAACAACCCATCTACGTAGCTGGCACTGAAAGCGCTGCCTCGAAACATCCTGATTAGCAGACTGGACTACTATTTCTGGATTTTCAGCTTCCACCAAAATAGGTATCAATGATCTCATCTACAAGTGGTGTATCATCATTTCTTGCATTACCTAGTTCAGTAGGCCAAACAGTTCACGAAACTTTCATTTGCACCATTATTATACAGCACTGTGCTCCAAAAGAGCACCTATATTGCTTTGAAAGGATGAGCCAATAAAATCTAACACGCTTTCAATCATTATCTGATTATACAGACCACCCAATGCCTTAATGTCTTACTGGCACTGCTTGCCGTTTTCCCAGTGTTCGACTGGGAAAGCAAAAGGAACGCTGGAGACAAGGTGGTAATGAACCAAGCTGAGCCTGCCCGAAGCAGCTGGCCAAGGGACACTAACCTAGCCGACAGCACGCCCCAAGAGGTCCCAAACCTGCTGGTGACACAGCCACAGCAGCTGACTCCCACACAGCGCGTGAGCTCCGCTGTAACATCATGCTTTTTGAATGGGCACATAACTTGCCCTTGACCCAGCCAGGGACACAGGGAACTCCGCATCCTCTCTGAAAGCTCTACACAATAATGCTGCATGGCAGCCCAAGAATTAATTGCACTGAGGCGTAAACCAAAGGAATCACCCATACTAGCGCTGCAACACAAAATGGCAGAGTGAAGGGCAAGGGGGAAAAGCTGCTTAAATGTCTTCTCTAAAATGCGAGGTCTGCACAGTGCTGAAGATGCTCCGGTAGGCAGACAGACATCAGCTGTGAGGCCAAGCGATTACATTCGGAGTTAGCAGGAGTTTCTTTTGAAGACATCACATTGTGGCATCACTAAAACTGTCAAGTGCATGCTGCAACACTGAACTCAAGCAAGTTCTGCGTTTGAGAGACAGCCTCAGAAGACCAATATTCTTCCTTAAAACCGTTCATCTGAGACCAGTTCAGAGTCCCATTGTTGATTTTTTTTTTTTTTTTTTTTTTTTTTTTTTCCTTCACACTTCTGCTATTTCAATTGGGTTTCATAGGAGACAAGCAGAATAGCACATTCTCCAGGAGTTTTGAGCCAGAATGTTACAGGGCAGGAAAGAGCACTCAAGAAACCCAAGTTCTGGAGTTCGCAGCTCTTCCACAACATTGTGAGAACACCTATTATAAAAGACAGGTCAAGAAATTCACATCAGATTAAAAGGAGGCAAGTCTAAATGCATCATTCTTGAGTACAGGCTTTTTGAAGGGAATTCTGCCTTTACAGAACATGCCTCTAGAGTAAGCATGGAAGAGGACACACCCCCTCCCCCCCCAAAAACAGGTCCCAAACACCCATTTTGCCTTCCCAGCATCTTAAAGAGTCCATCATATCATTTTTTCCACTGATATTTAAAATCTTGTCTATTTTTAGCTTATATTAGCATTGCTTCTATTACTAGATTTCCATTATGAAAACTAACAGCTACTGAACTGTAAAAGGTTAGAGTACTTGGAAAAAAATGAACAAGTAGGCCATCTTCACTCAAGGTTCACTTTGTTCTTTCCAAGATCATTTCAACGTTTAGTCAGGACTCATGCACAAAGTTATAAAAAACCAATACTTTATGTCCACATCTAAGAATTCCAAACATCTCATTTAGGTAGAATATCCTGGTCTTTTTTTTTTTTTCCTTTATCTTCTGAAGGTGAGTTTAAGCATCTACATCTGATTAATAAAAACGGAAATTCACAATTATGCATATAAACCAAAAATTTGGCATACATACATACTGCACTGAAGTGTATTCTCTAGCTTTGCTCTGAAAACCACGGGGGGATTTTTGCATTTTCACGTGGAAAACACCCTTACGAAAACTTCAGTAAGTATCTGTGTCACTAATACATCATTTAGAATTTTCTACTCATTTTACAAAGGTTAAAGTGCAACATGACCTACCTAGAGGAGGATCTTGTCCCTGTTAAACAAGAGGGATGCGCTTTAAAGCATGAAAGATACTCCTTTAACTTCACCTTTAGGCAACACCACATTTAACAGAACCTAGTGAGGCAGGTACTTTTTCTTCACTGGATTCTGATTACGTATGAAAACAAAGCAACACACTTGGTAAAACTGCTATGATGTATATCAGAGTAACACTTTATGGGGTCACATCTTTATGAGCATAAATTTTTCTTCTGAAACTTTACTTTCTGTTCCTCACCTGCTGTAACAGAATCCATGTGTTTGGCCTATTTAAAAACATTTTTTCTTCTGATGGTAATAATCTGGCTCCATCACACTTATCGCCATCCATCAGTCCGGTTCTAAGGCTCTGTTTGACACAGACCCAGCGATTAGAGTAGTGACGTCAGCCAGCCGGCCCATTCACCCCGCTAGCATTTGTGAAGCTGAAAGTACCTTAGCAACTGAAGACAAAATTCAGAGACCCTTCTGCAGCAAAGCCCTTAAAGCAAATTAAACGTTTTTCAAAAGCTCCTGACAATTTTATTCAGTACTACTAGGAAACTTCAAACCTTCCGAAATGTACCTCTACCTACGTGTCTCATGCAATCTAATGGCATCCCTAAGACCCCAACACTGTGCTGTTAAGCCTCTTCCCAGACACCCTGCTGAGCATAGTTTAAATACCTGCAGATGAACAGCGAGCTTTAGGTCCAACCACTTCAAAGGCTAGGGCTGAAGTTACAGTTACCACAGCGTACATATCATTCTGTTTAAGTTTTAATACATGAAACAGGAAGACAAAAACCCGCTAGTACACATTTTAAAGAAAAGACTGTTGTAAGAGTGTCACAGAACCACGGGGGGGAGGAATGTAATGTTTAAGGAACAAAAACACTTTACAATTATCTTTATTTCTGAAAAGTCACATCCCAAAGTCTTTAATCACATTCAAACTTATCAAGATGGCACATACCCAAACTGAAATACCATACTAAGTAATACGAAACCGTTATCATCCCTGAGAATCAAGCACCAGTTATTAGATTTAAAAGAATTTATGACTTCTCTAAGAACATTTCTTACATATATTCACAATAAACGTTCTGCCATAAAACTTCAGTACTGCCCTGATATGGTTAACACGTAATACCGGGGGGGGAAGGGTTAGAAATGAATGATGAAATGATGCTCAATAGCATCTGAATGACAACGTCTTTTGCATAGAAGTTAACAAGAAATTCCAAAGTATAATTTAGATAGAGAACACTCATGGGCAAGACGGCTTTTAAAGGGTCTGCACAGATTGTAGCTCACAGACACACGCGTGATCCAAGACGTTGCTAGCGAGCAATTTCTGCAACAGGCACAAAAGCAGGTTACCAATGAAGTGTGGTAAAAAGAAGCTGAAGACAAAATTAAGTCACCAAAACCACTTTCTTCAAATTAGCCATCTGTTCTATTTCTATCGCGTTCAGCCTTCTCCCCCAGATTTCACAGAAATCTGGCGAGTTTGTTATTACAAGCTGCCCTCCCACACTGCCTTATCATTTCACCTAGAATTCCAGGAAACCCAAACTTTGGGAAGCGCCGCACGCCG